GTGACATGGTCAGGAGGGATTTCACTTTCAGTGAAAAAAGGCGGAACCGATGCGCTCGATAGGTGGCGTTGTTGTCAAGGACAGTGACTATCTACCGTTGTCTCTAGTGAAACGACACTCGAGTATTTTATTTTTCTGATGGATTGTTGCCTTATCGTCATTGATTGATTTCTAATTAAACTTTATGTCCTGAAGTGTTGATTTTATTTATGAGGATTTATTCATAACATTTTAGTTGGATATACACTTAATTGTCTTAATATTAATTGAATCCTAATTTATTATTTTTCTGACATTAAAAGTCTATTACTATTATTTATAACTTCTTAAGAACTGTGTTAGAATTATTATTGTTTATCTCAATTACTTTTTAAATATTTTATCTTGAACTTTTAGGTATTCTTTTAATTATCATATTATAAGATCGTTTTGTTATGACATTCATTTTTTTTAAGCTATTTGTAACGTTGTCAACCAAGGTTGATTTTTTTTTAATATTATTTTGTTGAGTTATGCACTTTATTTGTATATCATGAATACATTTTATCTATCGTTAAGATGTGTAATTTTATGTGAAAACATTTGTCGTGAATGGTTTCGTTGTGGGTCTGATGAAATTGTGAGCTTTGTAAATGGTAGTGAGACTCGCACCGGAGCTATGCTCTTGGTCCACAGTGAGGTGTTGTCTTCCAGATCCTATAAAGTGTAAGGAAGAAAGACTATGCTATCATTGAAAGGGAGAAAAGTATTGTGACTGTATCAACATGTTGCTTATAGAGGAGGCGACCACTGTTCGCCACAAGGGAAGAAGTAGTGACCTAACCACGTGTCGATCAGGGTCATCTCACCTGTGTAGTCGATGCTTCACTAACCTCCGTTGTGGGAGGTGGGGTTGTTCTACTATATTAGTAACCGATTGATGAGGTCACATGATCGAAATCGGAGGGAATGTGGTGAGGCTCGAATTTGAAGCGGGGCTTGATGTCGAGATGTTATCCCATAAAAAGGATTACACCGATCCTCGACGCATACACAAAGAGTTTCGAATTATCGGATATGATAACTTATTATTGTTTTTCTCGTAAGTTGGAATAGACTTGAAACTTGGACGAGGACTTCTGAATGAATGATTGCTCCCTAAATGGTTCGTTCAGACTATGTACAAACAACTTCTGGAAGGTTAATCTCTTGTGATATCAACTTGAAGGTTGTTGGTTTTTAAGTTTGTTAGGGGCGCAATGTGGTAACTATTCAGAGAGACAAAATTGTTGGCCGCAAGTGGGAAGATGTTGGGACCATTCTGAAAAATATCCGCTGTATTTTTGGCTTCCAGGGGCATAATCTGGGTCCAAGTTTTGATTTTAGGCTTGCCAGGAGCGGAATCTGGCATTATTTCAGTTGATAAGTGAGAGGATATTAAATCTTAGGCTTCTAGATGTAGAATCCAATTTTGTTGTGTTTGTATTTAGGCTTTCGGAGGCAGAATTTAATTTTATTGTGTTTATGTTTAGGCTTTGGGAGGCATAATCCAATTTTTTTCATGCTATTATGTATGGGTTTCAGGAGGCTGAATCCAGATTTGTAGGTGGAAGTTATGGTTTTGTTCGGGATAATTATTTTGGATTATTGTATATTGTAACCGTTAGTCTCACATGAAAATTTCATAATAATCCTGATTTTGTATTTTGATGGTGAACGACGGGATGTTGTTTAATGGGACTCGAGAACGTTGTCAGGGCAGAACCCTGATAAGGGCATCTGCCCGATATTTTTAAATGTCGAACAATGTTCGACTTCGTCAAAAAATTATCGGGGCTTCACAACTTTATGAATACAGATCATCTGTCAAAAGTTACTCAAACCCTACCTATAACGGAAAGATCTAACAAAAATTTATTTGGTGAGTCAGCATGTTGGACGACGTCCGGAAGGGACGAGTGGTGACCGATGTTGTGACCAATCATGTTTCGGTCTTGGCGAAACCACTGAACACACGCGACCGTTAAAATACTGTGTCTAGCCTATTTTATTTAAGCTAATGTCGCACGCCTGCTAAGCCGCAAAATTCATAGTTCAAATGGGTTAGACAGTACGACAGTGTCAGAGATGGAGGTGTGGCATGGGCGGAATGCAATGTCAAAATTATTTATTTATCGTCGTAATCGGTCGCGGGACTTTGATTCGCACCATGGGTAGGAGAGCTAGTGTTATGGCCCATGGGGACCTATGTCCGTCGGAGTTATGAACAGGCAGCCGACCATAGGAAACAACGGAGCGGGAAAATAATAATAATAACAAAAGGGGGGACATCTAGTGGGGACCGTAGCCACATTGACGACTTAGGGATCAGGTGGTCCACCTACGTAGGTTGGATATCGTCGAGCCTAACACAGGCTGTCAGTCAATGACCAACCAAGGTGGGAGGTTCTAGTCGAGCTAAGGACTGAAGCGGGAGGTGCCTGTTGGGCTACTCCGGCCTCTGAGAATTACAACCCTTCATATACACGGGTCGCCTTTGCTTTACTAAAAGTAGGAGGTAGATCAGTAGGTAACGTCACAATCCGATGCGCAATCGATACAGGCATTGGACCCTGCGCGTCCGCCTACTGGCATATCTCTTTTTAAGGAGCAGTAGCGGCCTGGTAGGCTGAGGTGATCCGACGTGGCCAATTTCAGTCGCGTGATCACCGAGATCGCACGGCGGAGATCCGCTGCATAGACCCGCATGACTTCTGCGTGAGGATGACACGCATGAATCGAAAAAACAGTTCAATTTTTTTTCTTTTTTTTTAAAGTTGGATTCCTTTTGGAATTGAACTCTGGTCTGTATTTCTACAATTTGTCGCAGAGCCGCGAGAGAATGAGTCGTTGTTGGCAGCAAACCAGCGTTCTAACACGAACAAAAAAGAAAAAAAAAACGAACTAAAAGTCTAAAAGTTAAGCGTCACATGGCATGTGCCAAAAAAGCCAGGAGCTCTAACCTCTATCAAACGAGTCAGACGCCCGTTTTCATGGGCATCAAAGCTCGTTATTTTTAAAAAGTTTTATATATATATATATATTTTTTTCCTCTCATTTGTTTTCCTTCGCCCCCCCCCCCCCCCCCCCTCCTGATTTGAAGTGGTAAGTTGCCTTGTGGATTTACGAGGAATCACATTTTTCCAAGTTTTGGCAGAAGATTCATTTTCATTTTGCACATTTGGTGAGTGGTGGGGTGAACTCCGTTGTTCGTGAGGTTGCTCCTGGCCCCATCCCGCCATGGTTGCGTAAGGATTCGAACTTTGGTCTGTATGTCAATAGATCGTTGGCGCCATTGGCCTCGCTGCCTACGTGCTGCCCTATTGGGAAGGCAGCTGGTTGTTGTTGTTGTTGTTTTTTAATTTGGACTATTTCTCGAATTATGCATGCCATCCTTGCGCAGGGGCATTATACCACTTCTCTGCCCTTTCTCGCTGCCTACGTGCTGCCCTCTCTGTATGAATTATACATGCGCAGAATAACAATGCAAACCACTTTTGCCTGAGAGTCATGTCAGAATTCATAACCAAACTTGACTTAAAAGTAAAAAACTATAAAAAAGCTTACAAAAAGATTTTAAAAACTAATAAAAGGAAATGAATTATTAATAATTAAAAAATTAGTGTTGTCTAATAAATTATTATAGAGAGAGAGCATGTACGGACCCCTAAAAAAAACATAAACGGGCCTGAGAAACCCCCAAAACAATTTTGAAGGCTTGGCTCCTCAATGGGGAAGGGTCCTGGCCAATTTTTTTTTTTTTTTTTCCTCGAAATTTGACAGATCCAAACCTTCCAGACCGGACGTCTGGAGTCCGGACTGAATCCAAACGGTCTGGACAGCGGTCCGGACGTCCGGATTGTAGCCATGGTTATTTTTTTTTCTTCTTTATATATATATATACAGGGTTGCCGGCGTTCGGGACGGGACGAACACCCGAACCCGAACGCCCGAACGTTCGGGACCCCCTCTCGACGAGTTCGGCCGTTCCGCCGAACGCAGGCCCAAAAAAAAAAAAAAAAAAAAAAAACTTTTCAAAACATCTGAAAAAAAACAAATGTGATGCAGAAGAATAAACTAAACAACATTTGCATCAACAGTACATACAAATTCTTAACCGAATTTGAATTAAACATCAAATACGAAAAATAAATAATATTAAAATATTATTAATAAAAATAAGAAAAAATAAAGTGAGAACGAAATTATTGCGTGGACGAGCACGTTTTTGACACCGCCATCTTTGGCGATTTTTCATTTTATTTTGGCTTTTTCAAATGTCATAAAAGTTAATACATATGTATCTTACATAATAGAGAACCTATAGATAAAATTTGAAAAAATAATAATGTTTTTCATGCCCCGAAATAAAGGGAAAACAAAAAGTGAAAAGAGAAAAAAAAAAAACTATTAAGTGGGCAAGCAAGTCTTGACACCACCGTCTTTGCCGATTTTTCATTATTTTTTGGCTTCAAAGAATGTCTTCCAAATTAACAGGCACGTAGCTTACATAACAAAGAACTCACAAAACAAAATTTAGGAAAACATAATAATTTTTAGATACCAAAATATTGTTTTGCGGGGTCCGAACCCCTTCGAGTTCGGGTCCCGTACGGGGACCCGAACGCCCGAACGCCCGAACGCCCGAACGCCCGAACGTTCGGGGGTCAGCTTCGAGGCCTCCGTACGTTCGGCCTGGCAACCCTGTATATATATATATATATTCTATTTGACGATATATATATATATATATATATATATATATATATATATATATACAGGGTTACTCGACCGAACGTTCGGTTACTTCCTGCTCCTAATGCTTTGGTGCCGTACAGGCCACCTCAAGCCAATGGAGGGCAGAACGATGGAGGTCGGCAGAATCATGGTGCTAATCAAGGTTATGGTGGTTAGTATGGTCAAGGGTACGGCAACAACCAGGCGCAAGGGAGTAACTACTACAGAGGTGGTAATCAGCAGAGGCCGAGGAACAATTGGTGGGGAGACAACAGAGAGAGAGAAAGGGATGATAAGATGGAAAAAGTGTGGGGATGGTATTCGGAGGAGATGGAAGCTAAGGCTAAAGAGAGGCATGCTAAGGAGGATAAATTGAAGGAGGAAGAAGAAAAGAGGAAGATCCAAGCTGCAGAGGAGGAGCGCGCTAAGGCGAAAAGAGAGCCCGAAGAGTTCAAGCAGTCCATCGGGAAGATGGTCAGGGAGAGCATGAAGGAAGTTTGTGGTGAGGTCATTGGAAAAAAGACGACTACGAACCAAGTTCCTGCTACAACTATCGATGTTACCGACAGAAGTGAGGAGGCCAGGCAGGGAGATGAGTTACGCAAAATGCAAGAAGAACACTGACGGCGGAAAGATTCTGCAGCGAGAGAACAGTTGGAGAAGCAGAGGAGGGACGAGTTGGAAAAGCTCAGACAAGAGAATGGTGACCTTGTGCGAATAGCCTCCGGGAGAGCTAATCGGGAGTTAGATTCGATCAAGGCGGATAACCAAGCTCTGATCCACGATTTCTTGGCCCTTAAGAGTGAGGTCGAGCTCCTCAAGCGGAACAACAAGCGCACCTCGGAAGCAGTTACGAAGAAAAGTCCGCCCGTCGAGTCTGCAAAAGGGGTTCGCAGACCCCGGCTGAGTGGGCGAAGCTTGCAGAAGCATACCGAAAGGTTCATGACGAAAAGGATATGGCCGAACGAGAGGTCTCAGCGCTGAAGGATAGGATAAACAGGATCAAGATTGTGACTCCTTCTACCGTTAAGCGGAAAGTGACACTCCGACGAAGGAGTGCCAAGCTTGGGAGCAGTCCTGGATCTAAGAGTGGATATCAGGTTAGGGTCACCTTCGTAAGGAAGGTAGGTGAGGAGCGTGATGTATTCTACAAGCGAGTGTGCCATGATCTCGGCAAACTCCAAAAAGGGCAACTCGAGATTTTGTGTACAAACGAAGAAATCGATTATGCCGGCGTCAAGAAAACCGCGGCTGAGTTGGCGGATATCTACACAAACAGAGCCTTTGACCGACCAACGAATCGACGGTTGGTCAGTGATGATGAGCGGGAGGAGCACGTGGATGAGGATCCTGAAGGGGCGGATTCCACGGACGTTGCTGGAGTTTTCGCTGATGCGTCTCCGAACTCGGACGAACTCGGAGTGCCGGTAAGTTCGATTCCGAGCGCCGGACATGTGTATTCCTTGCTTTCTGCTGTTCGTAAATTAAGGGTCTCCAAGGTTGGGTTGAACAATGCTAATTTGAATAAGTTTTTCCGCGGTCTGGTTATTCTTCTCATTCTTTCTTCGGCAATTCCCTGGGCCGTCAAGTATCTTTCATATCTCACTGCTTTAGCATCCTCCGGTTATGACTTCTCCAGTTGTCCAGGCTCGTTTGTGTACATTCTTGTCTCGCCATGGTGCAAACATACTTACGTTGGATGAAGTTCACGACCAGTTGATGTGCGTTGGAGGGAGCACGTGCAGCGGGCTGGCTATAAAGGACAGGATGCCACTGTAAGAAATCATCGGTTATATCGGTGGTTGAGACGATGTGGAGTGGAGAATTACGTAGCGATACCAATTGCTCATCCAGACGCACACGATCTTTTGGATGTTGAGCGGTTTTTCATTCGTACTACTTCTCCTTTTCTTAATAGTGTAGGACAGTCCAGATACAATACGAATAGGAAGTGTCGACCGGGGAAGAAGGAACGTAGTAAGAGTAAAAGACGGACTTTGTCAGATAGTCGCGTCCACGATAATTCGGCGGCCCTGTTAAGTTTTGGTGTGAGTTTCGGTACGTCTTCCGCATCGCTAATAAGAGTTTTTGATGATGCTTTTGAGAAAGAAATTTTTTCGTTTTCAATTGTTTGTCGGGGTGGGTCTGTTTTGTGTGACAAATAGAAAGTGGTTAAGAGAAGGTACGAATCTACGGTAGTGAGGTCGGACTGCGGTACGAGTTTATTGAAAAATGCACGTGGATTGTTGGTTGCGGGTAAGCAGCTTGAGATTTGTGGACTAACTAGATTTTGTTCTAAGTTTTTGGAAAGAAAGAAGTCGTTGGTCCCGTTACTGTCAAATCCCGCATTACGGAAGGATTTGTATAAGTGCACTTTTGATGATTTGTTGTTGAATTACTCCGCGGTGCGGTCCTTTTCGGAGAAAAAAAGTAGGAATACATTGCGTTGTGTTTTGGCACGTGTGATCAGAAGCAAATTCGATTTTAATATTAGGATTAAGCCCATTGTTAGAATTCCGTATGATGCTCGGCTTTCGAAATCTAAATTGAGGAAACTTTGTGTTAGATGTATACGGAAGCCGGCTGTTAGGAAACCACTTAAAGAGATTGTATGTAGACGTCTCAGGATAGTTTGTCCTAAGAATAAGACGGTGGCAGATTATATTCATAATTTTAGGCAGGCTGCTAGGAAATCATCTCTTAAGTGTGTTTGCTCTCTTGTTCCTCAAGAACTGCTTTCCACAACTCCTGTCGACTCTCTCTCTCTCTCTCTCCCTCCTTCTTCTTCTTTCTCTTCTTCTTTTTCTGCTTCTTCTTCTTCTTCTTCTTCTTCTTCTTCTCCATCTTCTCCATTTTCTTTTTCCTTTTTTTTTTCTTCTTCTTCTTTTTCTTTTTCTTTTTTTTCTTCTTCTTCCTTTTCTTCTTCCTCACCCATCCGGTCGCTTAATTCAGATGGTCACATAACATGCAGATTTTCTTCTATATCTGTCCCTTCTATTATCCGAAACTCCCGTAATATTCCCTACCCAGACCTACAGTCTAATATCCCCTTGCTTTCTCAGTCTATTAAACAATCATTGAATAATGTTCAGAAAAATACCTCTTATTTTGATATTCCTTCTGCAGAGTTTGAGCAATGTTTTTCAAAGAGGAAAGATCATGGGTTGTTCCTTAGTAGCAATTGGAGAGTAGTTAAAGCCTGGAAAGCAAAATTAGAAGGGTTCGTGGTCTGCGTTGTGGATCATAATCCGAGTGATTCATCCGTATGCTGCCCGACGGTATATTTGGAAGGGCTGGATAGTTTGTTTCTCAAGAATGATGGGTTTGTCAAGACGGGTAACAGTGAGCAAGTAGTTATTAACAGTAGTTATTAACAGTATAAAGGAGGACTTCTTTGACAGTAAAATTCATAAGCATGTCCGGGGGAACTACAATTGCCAGTTGGGTAAGGCATATGCTATGCCCAAGCACAAAGATGTCCAGAGATGGAGACATATTTGCCCTTCTTGTTCTGATCCACTTGCTAGCCTTAGTCGCCTAACTTCCAAAGCGGTCAATTGCTTGATATGGTCACTCCCGGTAGAAAGTAATTTTAATCTTAAATCCACTACAGACTTACTTCCACGACTAACTAAGTTTAACTCTTCTCTGGGTCCCTTTGAAGAGGTCATTGTCGCGAGCTTCGACGTCAAAGAGATGTTCTCCAACTTACCACACAACTGTATCTTGAACGCGGTTGAATGGCTGGTGGCAGTGTTTGAGGAAAACGGGTTTGACAGGGTTCTGGTGAAGTCACAAGGAAAGAATGCTAGACTCACCAAGGGAAAGAAAACTCCGGAAGGTTGAAAAAGTGTTCGCTTTTCAAAATTGTTAAGTTTCGTGACGTTTGACTTGGCCAATACGTATACTATGTGCATGGGGCAGGTCTTAAAACAGAAGGTGGGCATACCAATGGGCAAACCCGCAAGTCCAGCATTGGCCTGTTTGCTATGTATTCATAACGAGTTTTGTTTCTTGAATTCGTTAGGCTCTCAGAAGAAACTGTTCTTAGGGATACGGCTGATTGATGACGTTTCGGTATTTGCCAAGTATGATAGACGGTCAATGGTTTCGAAGTGGAACGCTCGACAAGCTATCGAACGATTTGGTCATTGCTACGATGACAAGCTTACCTTGGAGAAGACCAACAATGGTGATACTTGGGAATATTTAGGATGTGTAATTAAAGTATATCATGCATCCCCCAAGGTACTTTGCGCGGCTACTCATAAAAACGAGAGATGTGTATTGGATACTGGTATTATCTTCGAATGTCTGCAGGATTTTGCTTCATATTCATCGAAACAACAAAAGATGGTTGTTATTACGTCCTTCTTTCACAGGGTAAGATGTATGAATAGTATGCCGGGTGCTGAGGCTTGTTTTCTGTTGACTTTGAAAGTCGAGCTGAGATTAAGGGGTTTCCCAAACTATCACTTTGATCGGTCCATAGACCTTTTTTCTTGTAGAAATAATCGTTGTTGGGATACTTGGGTCCAGTGTTTGACCAGGTGGTAGAAGCGGACAAGGCCGTTTTAGGCCCAGTTAAAAACTAGTGGTTTGGCTGGAACAGACCCCTGGAATTGTTGAATTTTGATTGGCTACGGTTAGGCCCTTCGACTGACAGAGGTCCCATGGTACGGTGGTACTGCTTTTACATCTGCGAAGTCCGGGGACGAAGACCAGCTGGCGACTAGTCGAAACGCGGCGTCGGGTCGCGCCGCCTTGCGTCGTTGCATGTCACTCTTGTTATATTTTATACGATGCATCCTGTGCTCGAATTTTTTGGCATTTGTTTCGTCTTGTTCTCTTTTCTCACCCATCGTTTTTCATCCTGTCCTGATGTATGGCTAATGCTTTGCATGATGTCATGTATGAACACCTACGTGCGAACGTTCGGGGGCCCACGGGCTGGCCCCCGAACGTTCGGGCGTTCGGGGTCCCGTTCGGGGGCGAACACCTCCAGGTTCGGTCCCCGCCAAAAACATTATCAGGGCCTAAAAATAAGTTAGTTTTTCTGCGTGTGTTTTTGAGAGTTCTTTATGATGTAGCCTACACGCCTATAAAGTTTTAAGCCATTCTGCATTGCCAAAAAAACATTAAAAATCTTCAAAGATAGGGATGTCAAAGTGCTCACCCACTCAAAGATGGTGGTGTCGAAAAGGTGTTGGCACACTCACTCATTTTACTTCTCTTTTTATTTTTTCTTATTTTTATCACAGTGTTTATTTTATGTATTTGATTTGTAATTCAAATTTGGTAAAGAATTTGGATGTAGTGCCCAGGCAAATGTTGTTTAGTTTATTTTTCTCCATAACATAGTTTTTTTTCGAAATTTTTTAAAGAACTTGTTTTTGTTTTTGGTCCAAGCTCGGCCCGAACAGCCGAACGCCTTCCGAAGGGGTCCCGTACGTTCGGGCGTTCGGCCCATCCCGAACGCCGGCAACCCTGTATGTATATATATATATATATGTAAACTCCGACGAAACAGTTTGTCACAACCCCTCGTTTGTTGTCTTCTTCTTTTTCTTTGCTTACGGTTTACCGGACAGTTCTGTTTGTGACGATATATATATATATATATATATATATATATATATATATATATATATATATATATATATATATATATATATATATATCTTGAAAGGGCACGAGGCCTTATGGCGTGGCAAGGAGGGGGGGTGCACCTGAAGTATTTGGATTCGAGCTTGAGTTTGTATAGCAGCAGTTCGTGGATGCCCAACAACACCACAAAGTGCCCTGCCTTGTTGGCAGAGCTTGGAGGAGGGGGATAACGAGCAGTAACTGCAAGAGAGGTTCCCCCCCCTCTGTTTTTTGGTTGCAGATGGATTCGAACTTTAGTCTGTATTTCAACATTTTGTGGGCTGCGAAATGCCTCAGTAGAAATGCCTCATTGGCTTGGTTGCAGCTAGTTGGAATTCGAGTCTGTGTTTTAATAGTTTATGGGG